GCACCGAGAGTAGGGGATTTGAGGCAATGACTGTGGGCGGGTGCCAAAGTCAAAAGAAAAAATATTCAAGAGATGACAATCTTCTAACATGACAATTATCTGGGACTAGTTAAACAGTTACTCTGACATTTGCAAAGACGTTCAGATACACATGGGACTCTCTTTGTCTACGACTGATCTTGGCCCTTTGGAAAACATTAATGCAAGGAGATGGTTTCAAGCCTCCAAACGATACAACCTGAGCATATATCTTTTCTCTAAGATAGAGAAAGGCAGACAGAGGTAAAAAAAAAAAAAAAAAATCATCTAATAAAAGAACAGTGGGCTGCTTTGCGCTAAACACCTAGAGAAGTAAGCAAAAGACAGTGTGGAGATCAGAAAGGCAGACAAAGAGAAGGGCAAAGTTTCTCATATAAAAATGGACACATATATTTGTAGCATTTAATTATTTTTTATAAAATCATGTTCATATTTTTAGCCTCAGTCCTAAAAAAAGAAAAGAAAAGAAAAGAAAAGAAAAAGCAACAGTATAGAGAGTAAGTACATTTTAAATATCACTTGCAGTACCAAAATAACACAGACCCTAACACCCCCTACCTGGATTCCCAAGGGGCTCATTCGGTGCTACCACCTAATCTGACAGTTAACAAAGAATCCCAACAGAAAAAAACTTAAAAGTGCTACAGAGTGAAACATATTTCTGGCAACATACGGGGGAAAGAGGGATAAACTAAAGATGATAGAACATAACAGGGTGAGTCTCAGCTCAAAAACGCCATTCATCATTTCAACAAAAGGCGGTGAATTTTAATGAGGGGCATCCCCAATTACTCAGACCCAATTTGTGAACCAGTAGGTGTGCTGGGAGGCTCCAGGTGACACATACTCACCTGTTCTTACCCTGGCTAGCTCCGAGAACCTATAAGGTTGCGGTGCTGGAGGGTCAGGTGAGTTCCTTATCAACTCTCTAAAGTACCCAGGTTTGCTCAGAGGAAGGCACTTTTAGGCAATTAGGTTGCCTGAAGCAGTAATTTCATAATAATACAATAGGTAGGTTTATCTCCTACACTGATAGTATTGTTAAGTGTAGCTTTTTCATTTTTGGGGGAGAAAAAGATGGAAGTAGAGTAAAGCAAGGTTGAAATTGAATCGATATCACCAAATATCACATCTTGCAGTAGTGATAAACACAGAGAATGCAAGAAGAACTATCAAATTGTGGGAAGTATGCGTTATTTACTGATACCACTGAGTTCATCTTCAAAAATATCTCCCCTTCCCCCGGGGCCCATTCATTGTTTCTTATCAGATAGCAAAAGACTTCAAAGAGGTGGCATTCCCCACCAATCCAGGGAATCTTGAGGATTTTGCTCAAGATGTTCTGGGTGTTTTTGCTCTAAGAGAGTTAGATTATTTAAGAAAATTGTTCTTGGCATTTAACAAACTGACTTGGATCCCAGCCATGCTAATCATTGCTTCTCTGTAAGCCCAAAATTAAACCTGAGTGTGTCCCTCATTTTCTGCTTCTGTAAAATAAGGCTCTAATTACTTAGGTTGTAAATATGTTTTCAGGAGTAAATGGAATAATATACATGAAATAAGAGGTAAAGTATCCAATGCAATGAATAATAAGTAGGTAATGCTCTTGTATCACTTAAATAACTGAAAAGTCAGCCCTCAGACAAATTTTTTCCATCATGAAAGACAGATATATTTTATCTCAGGATATTAGAGAAGATACTAGGGGAAAGTAAAGTACATAACACACACAAATATAATCCTCACAGTGTACTGTCATGAGTAAATGTTTTGAACCTCATGTGAAACTATTCTCTCTCTGGGCAAAACAATATTCTCAAGCCACATTGTATAATTACTTGAACTGCTTATAATCTAGAAAAGCAAGGATTCTGGGAAATAAATTCCAGCCATTTTGTTGCTGAAAGGCATCCACGTCAGAGGATCAGTGTCATTGAAGAAGAAAAATTAAAAATTATATTAAAACGTGCTTTCTCTCTGTCAGCCCTTTAGTTCATTTTTGTGTCCTCCATCCACACTTTTCAACATTTCTCCCAAGCTACGGTGCCATTTAAAATATGCACGTTCATGTATTTGCACTAAAGTAGCATCAAACTGTATCCCCTGCAAAGGTATTCCCAAAACACAAAACCCACAAGGAGTCATCTGAGGAATTTCCACCTCCGCCTCCCTCCTTAATATAAATGGAAACATTTCCATCCAATAATATACCTATTATAATATATCTTTTACTATGGTCCCCACAACCATCACATGCCATTTGCCTTGAGAGAGCAACTCTTGAAGTTTTTGGAGGACCAAAGAAAATCAAGACACTCAACACTTAAACAAAATGCTCTGAACAGAATGTTCCATTTAAACTTTTAAACACACAACTTCCTACAGAACAACAATGCTTCTTTGCTAAGGCTGATTCTTTGCCAACAGTGATTCTCGTTCTGAGGGGGTGACTATTACTATTTGACAAATGACATTTAATTCATCTCCTTCTCTTGTCCTGAAAGATATTAGCACCCCCTCGCCCCCTTCCCCAGACAACAGCCACTCAAATAGAGGACGGTTGGAAAGGTGGCTGGAATAGAACAGCACGACTTGACAGCTCTGGGTTGAACATTAGTAAGCTCAGCTCTTCAGGAAATGCCTTAAAAGTCCATGCTCTACAGTCATTTGCCTTTTTTTTGTTTAGGCACAGCCTGACTCACGGAGCAGGGCTAGAGGGTGTGTGTGAGGACAGGCACGGGGAAGAGACGGAGCCAGTCCAGGCCCTTCCATTGCAGCAACTACACTGGAAGTGTTCTCTGCACGAGCCCTCTTTTGCTCTTCCGGAAAGCATAAACCGGAGGCGTCTATTCAAAATTGTCTATTTGGGGGAGGAAAAAAAAAACAACCAAACAAACTAGTGTTCTCCTGGAAGTGAAATCTAATAACATGATAATATGATACTTATTAGCCAGAAAATGAAAGTTTAAAGGGACAGATTATATCCTCCAGTGGTATTTGGAAACTTGCAAGAATCACACAAGTTCGGACAAGAGCTGCTCAATGGAACTTTCCGAAATCATGGCAATATTCCATGTATGTTCTGTCTCATATGAGCACTTGAAATGTGGCTAGCCTGACCAAGGAACTGAATTTCGAAGCTTAAATCTTATTTAAATTTAACTAATTTAAATCGAAATGTAAATAGCTGTATGTAGCTAGTAGCTACCATCCTGGACATTGCAAGTTTAGGACCATCACTCAAAGTTTACTGAGAGTCTTTACACGGCGCTTAATTTTCTCAAAAACCACTCTACCCAGAAACAGGTATCAAACATGTATGCTAATATCGTGACCATGTGATTGCAAAATCAATGTGAACTAAAAATCAATGCACTATCTCTGCTAGTTGAGCCTGTTTCAAACAACAGGCTTGATCTATAGGCTTTTCCATGTCTGTTATGGCCTAAAGAGAAAAAGAGGAGAAAAACCAATGAAAAAAAAATTGTCCATTGCTGGCCTATTGTGCAATCAGTGTGTCCCTGCACTTACAGTATCTGAAGGTCATAAGAGAAACCAGAATGGACAATGAAAACCAACAACAGCAACAATGAGGAATGCTTGATGGAGAGAGGACATATAAAGGTTTAAAGGACAGTGAACTTTCATTCCCGTGACAGTTGAAAATAGGCAGTGCATGTGCCAGCAATCAGATAAAGTGGAAAGCTGATAAATTTTAAAACGTATTTTGCCAGCACAGTAGAATGCAACCATAGGACCCCAAAATTCCGAAGCTTCGAGGGCCCTTAAATACCATCCACTTCAAACTCTCCTGCAGATAAATAAGTAATTGGAAGCCCAGAGAAGCGAAGAGCTCGTTGTCCCTGAGATAATAGCCCAGCTCCGTCCCAGATCTCTCAGTTTGTTTTCTTTCCACTATGACCTTCATTCTTGTTCTGCTGAACACAGACTGAGCCTTGAGTAGAGAAAGAGCCTCATCTCTAGCCCTACTTGTCCAACCTCAGGTGAGCAGAAAATAGAGTGTTTGAAACACGCCGCTCTGCTAGACATGAACACTCCCTTCACTAGCACAGCATTCCTAAAATCCATGCAATTCACACAATTGACAAGGCACACTGCGAAAAAAGAAATTACAATGCACAAACGTTTTAAGAGAATGCTTTGCATAGGGACAGCTTTTCAGTTTAACATATATTTGCTATAAAAGTGGCTTTGCACTGTGCTCAAAACATACATGCCTTTAAGAGAGCCAGGTCCAAATTTCCAAAGCACATGACTATTCATCCTATGCTTTTGGTGACTCAATGGGACATAAAAAGATATTAAGATAGAAGCAAACAATTATTTTAAGGATCAAAAACAAATAAAACACCTTCCTTTTAGAGCCAGAACTTAGATAATTCTCCTTTTACAGGTGGAAAAAAAAAAAAATGAGATGGCAGATTTTAACTGACTTGTTTCAAGTCACCCAGCTAGTAAGTAAAAAAATGGGACTTAAGGTTCAGGATTTCCCTCTCTGGGTGCAGAGCTTTTTGTTACTCTAGAAACCATAATAAGACAGAGGTCTACAAACCAGAAAAGGAAAGAAAAGGACAATTATCCTGTATATGTCATTGCTGTTTTAAAATGTCTGTTTTTTTGAATTTGAGTTATACTTTGACATAAAATGTCCCATGCTTTTTTCTGTAATCACATGGAGTATTGATGGAAGAAAGACAATTATGTTTTAGGAGCTATGTAAAAAATCTGGGAATAAACCCACTTTATTGCCCAGATTTTATAAACTTTCCCAGTCCTCAGATAATCTTCTGCAGATAAATGCCACACACCGCTGCTAAGTGCAAGAGATAAATAACACTGCACATTTTAAATGTCATGTACTTTGAATTTTATACCATGCTCTTATAAATGAATCCATAAGAGAAAAAGAAAATGCTAAATAAATACAGTGATGGGCTTACATTCTTGTGTTGCTGGTCTTGTTGATGATAACAGATTTCCCTGTTTGATCCACATTGTGATCCAACCCAAAGTAAGCTGCCACCCGATGGACAAGCATCCTCTGATAGGATGACATCTGAGGGAACTTTTTATAATGATTGCTGGAAAGGAATACAGGAAACAGTGGAATCAGCATTTGTGTTTCTGGCCCATAGGACATTCTATAGGTACACACACAAAACCATTCATTTTTCATTCAAAGCACACAGCTTATTTCATCTCTGGCATCACACTTCATGTCCTCATTTCCAGACAATTTTCCACTTATTATGGATTTATCGATTAAGCTACACTAAGTATCTTTGTTTCATAGTTGCACATTTCTCGCAGCAAAGAGAACTTAATGTCTTTTGGAAAGTATTCTATTTTGGTCCATGATACCTCATGAACGGAGCCAGGCTCGGGACAAATGATATGACATAGTATGTGACTACAGATGCCTATCTGGAGATGTGTCATTACACGGTTTACACTGAAAGTAGCACAATTATGACCAGGCATAACCGACTGCAGCCAGCTGGAGCCCATTAAAAAACTATAATAAAAATGAAAAGGGTTGCTTCTTGTCACCGCTACTCTATGCTAATCAGTGGCCCCCTGTTTATAGCCATTTTGTCAGGAATTTAACAAGCAGGAGCACACATGATCCAAGCAACAATTCCCATCGATATATAGCTTCTAATCCTAATAGCATCTCCATTTAACAAATCGGCAAACATATTAAATAATGTTTTATTTATCCCTAAATCTTTCCAGAATGAATAATTAAACCCAAATACCAAACTAAGCACATCATATAAATTAATCAGCACTGCAATATAACATACTTGTTGTCACCAATGAAATCAATAATTTCTTGCTCCATTTTCAAGAGTATCATCCTGTCCCTGCAAAATAAATGTTAAAATGAAAAGGTTTGAGGCACTTGCCATTCCCAAAGGCCTAAAAAGTTCATTTGCACATCTGAAAAATTGGTTAAGTTGATATGACTATAACTCTTTACCTAACTCTTCCCTAGAATATGCTGTCCGTATGCATGTGGTTTCATTCTACTGAAGATATTTCTCATCTCATTTGTTAAGTATTTTGTAACATCGAAACTTCTGCAGTTTTAACGTTAATTGAGACATGTAAGGTGTTAAGCCTATAAGACACATCAAATACATTGTATATTTTAAATTAATAGGAAACTGGAGCAAAGCAAAGCCCAAGTAAATAGTTATAAAACTGCAGTAGAGCATAATTGGTTTATTTAACATCGACTTTCATTCTCTATCTTTTCCCGTTAATCAGTATCTCTTTGTGACCAGGAAAGCAGAACTTGTAAACTATAATTTATTCCTTGGGTAACTACCCAGGAATCAAGACTACCTATACATAGTAAACATGCAAACAGAAAAGAGAAAATATGAGAGAGAGTTTAGGACATTAGAAAAGGTACCTGCATTTTACAACTCTGTACTTAGAAATGCTTGGACTCATGGCTTCACAATATTCTACTTTACTCTTTTAAAAAAGAAGAGGTTTATTTAATAATTTACCTGGAATTATTCTTTAATGTGTTAATCAGAAACTCATGTAAGTCTATGCCAGTAGAATCCGTGTATTCTTGGCTGCAATCTGAAACAAATAGCAGGAGGGAATTGTCAGGAATGCTGATGGGGAAGGGAGGGTGAAAAAGGTTTCCCTCCTGCTGGGTAAATTTTAGGTGAAGCTATTGGCGTGAAGGTACATGTTTCGAAACTGGCAACTTGGCAGTGTAACACCAGAATGAAAACCAGATTTGAGATGGAGGAACCCAGTAGATCCTGAGTGTGGAAAGATCCGGCTGTCACAGGAGGGGAGATGCGGGCACAGTCGGGTAGGAGGTGGGTGAGGTGAAATGTCACGTGTTCAAGTCTTGCCGTCAATCAGCAAGGCCAGGGCCTCCACGTGACAGGTACTACCAACCCACAGAAAGAGTTCTCAAGAGTTTCAGATTCCAGGGAACCCTTTTTCTCTTCAAACAGAGAAGGCAAAGAATGAAAGTTCTGTGATGAGACCGTCTAAATATTCATCAGTACAAAACACAGGAGGGCACTAAACATTTCCAAGCCTTTCAAATCTTCTGATGCTGGCTAAAGCTTAATTCCTAAAGTCATCTTAGGAACCTGCACTTCTTTACTCCTGTCACACCTTGGGTTTTAGACATTCAGTAGCAGAGATAATCATTATAAGCAGATACATGGTTACAGGGCATAATATAAGCAGTCATCATTCCTCAGCTGATTGGATGCCCTGTTCTTTCTCGGTTATTTAAGAAAAAAAATGTCTACTGCAAAGCTATTTATTCACGGTATTCTTCATTTCAACTTAACTTAGTTTTGTTTTAACTTTTGTTTCCTTTTTTTGGTTTTATTTTTGTACAGTTGTATGTATGGCCATAATTTGAAAAGTCTGGACTATGGGCTTGGGGTTTTAGAAGGTATAGCTTTTTTTTTTTTACTATTGGAGTAGAAGTGTATATTTTTTTAGGTGAGACATGATGTGGTGGTTATGTGGGTTGCAGAGACCAAATCCATTTGTGGCAGATACAATGTTAATCACGTAGTCCATTGACGTTGATGTATATACGTCTGTGCTTTGGGGACGATATCACTTACCGGCTGTGAATTGCTAATCTACTGTCTGTCTTTTAAGATAAACATGGAAGTTAAGATATAAAACTGGGTATCATTACTGTTCATCAGCCCAAGTTAATTGGATTAATAAGTCTGAATTAAGAGCAGATTTATACTCAGTCATTTGTACAAATTTATCATCGAAAACAGAAGATCCGAATGGAAATCCAAAGAGATAAGTGATCCTAAAATTAACCTTTCTGGATACACAAATAATGACACCATGAACAGAAAGGAAATAGAGTTCACATCTTTTACACACACACACACACGTACACATATAGAAGTATATGCAGAGGTTGGTGGCAGGTGAATACGTGTGTAAATCTAGGATGTACTCTGTGACTATTTATCTGTCCAAATTCAGTAAGTTAAGGAAACATGTTCACATTCACCTTTTGATAACATTCTGATCTTGGGTTTTTCAGAGGTTTTATCTTTGTTTTTATCCTTTTCTTTTTCTCTTTCTGAGTCATCTTTCCTAGATTTATCATCCTCTTGCAGGCTGGGAAAACTGGAAAGCTGTAAATGAATTGATTCCTGTTGGGGAAAAAATATAATAATTTAGGGCCAGATTTAAGAATTTCTGTCTGGTTTCCATTTTGCATAGAGGTTATTAAGTACAGGAAAATGAAAGCCAGGAGCAGATTTTTTTTTCTTCTTAAATGGTAAAAAAAAAAAATTAAACCTGTCAGAGAAATAATTGCCCTTTAAGGTGAATTAAACTTCAGAAGTCAATGGGAGGTCATGAGAAACATCTAGTACTAACACTTGGCCTCATGAATATTAACATTAAGCAAGTTATTTTCCCCTAGATCATACCTCTTATTTTCTCTACAGGTTTATTTTTAAACACTTAGGAAACATTTCCTTATCAGTAAGCTTGCGTCACAGCCACTGCCATGTCTCAAAAAAAGAAAAAAAAAAAGCCTTCTGAGTTCTTTTCTATAATTCCTTATAAGGAGAAATCTGCACAAACATAGACAGACAGGTATTACGAATCGTAATTACAGATAGAACAGACATAAAGGCCTTAATAGCCAATTTATAATAAAAAGTCTGTTTTAGAACCACATCAACAATGATTTCTACTATTAAGAAAAACCAAGCTATCTAAATGCAGGAATCCCGGGTATGGATGATTATCACACCTTGTTTATAAACTCCATTAATGAGTCATCATAATGTATGGTTAGAATCGGCAACGCCTTTTAGAAAGCAGAACTATATTTCCCTTCAATTAAATATAAATATTTTATATTATTTTAATTTTTATCAGTCAATTCTTTCCAAAATGTAAAATTCTCTTGAACTGATGCTTTGGTACAGTACTGACCGTTTACTGTATTGGAACTGGATCCGTTTTTATATTTATTTATTTTGCACTGGAGACAGATTGTTTTCACTCACATATCAGCCATGTGGTTGATAGTATGTTCACTGTTTTGAAGAAGAATGAGCCAAATCATATTTTTTAAGAAGTTTTATGAAAAACCTATGCTATGATTAAAACTATGACAAATTAACCAACATTAAGTCTGCTTTCTCTTATGTAAGAGATCATTTGATGGGAAAGCTTTTTTCTACTAGTGACATTAAAATTCATGATGTAAAAAAAAAAAAATTCCCAATGACTAATAGTGTTTCTCACTAAAAACTAAACAAATGTTCCTATACATGTGACTAAAGCAATGCCTGAACCTCCTCAAATTATGGCCATCCTAGGATTCCTAGGGTTCTTGGTAAACTTGGCTAATCTAACAAGCATAAAACAAGACCCCCGAAATCAAGTTTGCTTTTTAGGAGGGGCTCCACTGTGAACTCCTGGCTGGAATAAAAAGGCACCAGGGCTGAAAAGACATATGATAGAGAGGATAAAATAAAACATGTTCTCATGATAGATATTTATCCTAGACAGATTTCCTGACATCCACGTGTTTATCCTGGGGATAGACTTATGCAAAACATGTAAAACTGTGTGTAACTTGATTATAGGTTCTATTGTCATGTGATTTGGGACAGAAATGCCTTTAGTCTGCAAAGGTTCGGGCAGACTTTAAGGTTTTGATTTCCTTCTGCTTGCTAAGGAGACAGCTGCAACATTTCTGGTTCAGAGAATACAGTTGGGGGTGGGGAAGAATCAATTCAATAGTTGATCAGGTGGGGAAACTGAAGGCACCAAGCCATTGGAGTGGTCTCATTGCTTCTTCAAAACCTCTTGCATCACCCAGCCTCTGTCAGTTTGAATCTACAATCTGAGAGGCCTGGAAGCATAAATACAAGAGCAGAGGCTAAAAGACATCTTCCACCAGAAAAAAAATTAAAAAAAAAGTACAAACTCACGCCATGTGTGGACAGGTAGTATTCTCAGAAAAATACCTATCTTTTCTATACATAAATATACATTATGGTGTTGAAAGAACACACAAAAGTGCTATAGAGTTGGTAAAAAACAATCTGTTATTTTTTAATATTTTTATTGATATGCTCAATAATAAAATACAAGTGTTAATAAATACATTGGTACAGGATAAGTTTATATCCAACAACAATAAAAGAATGATTCAAGTCACAGTAATACACTGATAGGTAAATAGTATAACATTAGGAAAGCAAAACTCCTTTAACTGAAGGACAGACTGAACCATCAGCTATGGGTCTGAGATCAAGTAATACAGGTAGCAAGAGTTTTTCCCACACAGGAAAATGAAGGCAGTTTTCAAATACTGTGAATATACAAATATTAGGGAAGCAATACAATCCATATACTGTATATTTCTGCCAGGGTTCTCTGGGATTCAGTTCCCACATTTTGTAAGTGCCGGTGGTACCTAATGAAGGCATTGCATATAAGCTCAAAGGTCTGCTTCTTTATTCTCTAACAAGTCACATGCCCACTTGCTAATATGTGTGTCTGGGTATTTTTTATTGGCCGCCTGCTCCCACCACCCCTCAGCCAGCCCAAAGAGAGGTGTACAAGTTCTAATTCTCTCCTACACGGCTAGTCTTGGTCACTGAGCTTGAAACCAGCAGGAACAAAGCACCGATTGCATCTTATTTCTCTGCACAATTGTATGGAGAAACTAGACTTAGGTCCAGGACGGGCACTATGATACAGATGATCTCTTAAAAAATTTCCTCCTGGTACCTTGTCAAATGGGATGAAAAGCAGATTAAGTCTATAAAGGCTGTCCTCCTCTGCCTGGTATTAGGAGTGGGGGACAACTGGGGCATGACTTCTCCCAGAGTCTGTCATTCCGCGGAGTTAACATATATCGTGTGCAGTACATTATAAGCCATCAATCAACATTTAATAATACAAGCCGTGATAGTTGCATTAGTCCCCCTTTTCAGTCTCCATTAAAAATAGAAGCACAAATAAAATGCTGAAGAAAAGCCACACATTTCTCAGAGCCCAAGTAAAATAAAGCTTGTGTATGAAACATAGTGATGGCTAGAGAAAGATAGCCTGTCCATGCCTTACGACATGAGTGGCACGATAAGAAAATGAGGCTAGCGAAAAAAAAAATACTCTTAGGACAAAATCTATAAGGTATTTATTTTTGGTCCTTTTAAAGAAAGTGCTCTTAATGCTCTCTGTATCCATGAGGAGAATTTAGAGTATTTCAATTAAAGTAAAAAGAGGAAAGCAAACAAGCCCAAACAAAAATAATGATATCTTAATCAATTTTCTCTCCCCTGGGCTCAGATAAATCATTTTACTTTTGTCTCGACTTCTCTCAGCCTCTGATAAAATAAGGAAAATTTCAGCTGCTAAACTATTTTTATAAAAGCTAATATGATGCCTAAAAGGCAAACAAAAATAAATACGATATGAAGTCCCCATTTGGTCAGGGGAGGGTTTTGTCAGAATTCGAATTTTCAGACCCTAATAGTCTTCTTGTAAGGAGCAAAGATAAGTGGAAAGATCCACAGCGATATATAATAATATTAAATTCATATAAATTTAATACTATGAAATTCACCATCACCTCAGATTCATTTCTGGACAATTTTTTTCAGTATTCAACATCTCTACCAAAGGCCATAAAAATATGTCTGCAAAGCTCAATGCACCTTATTCACTATTTCCAAAGTTTCGTTAAGAGCCAAGAGTTGTGTTTCTTATAGGCAAGTGTATTTTGGGGAAGTGAGAGGTAAGAATCTCCAATAAGGAAGGAGACAGGATACTTAGGACTATATTTGGTTCAGTCTTATCAAGAGAGAGCCTGTGAGGAAATGCAGCACTACCGTGCTTACTTTTTAAGTTTTTTATCTAAATTCTTTTGAATTCCTTTCCATTTGCAGTTTTCAGAGAGTCTGGAAAAAAACAAACGTAATACTCTGTGACAAACCGTTAAGCTAGTTTAAAATGTCTCATAAGTAGGGGATGAAGCCAGAAACTACGTCTTTCTTTGCTTATTTTTTTTTTCTCCCCCAAAACACTGTGTAATACCAGATTTCTACTCATGCACACAAAGACAGATCCCATCCATGCAGTTAATGAAAATGACAGGGGGTATACCTGATCCTGAAGACTTTCACCTCCTGGCCTGGCTGAGGATTCTTCACAGACAGCAAGACTGCGAGTCAGTTTACCTTTTCCTGCTCCTGACTGGGGAGGGGAAAAAAAAGGCAAGGCAAGGAAAATAAAGACAACAAACAGAAAACATTCTCTGGCTGTCAACTCCTCTCTACCTTCCCAGGACATTCCCAAACCAGATTTCTAAAACCGAGCTTCAGATTGGCTGCTCAGTGCTGTCTGTCTACACTGGCTTCAAGATTCAGAGCCCTGGGGCACCTGGGTGGCTCAGTTGTTGAGCCTCTGCCTTCGGCTCAGGTCATGGCCCCAGGGTCCTGGGATGGAGCCCCAAATCGGGCTCCCTGCTTGGTGGGGAGCCTGCTTCTCCTTCCCCTTTTGCCCCTACTTGTGTTCCTGCTCTTGCTATCTATCTCTCTCTGTGTCAAATAAATGAACAAAATCTTAAAAAAAAAAAAAAGATTCAGAGCCCTGTGTTGGTGGGATGCAAGGGGAGGAGAACGTTAATACATGGATTTAAGGGGCACTTTTAGAAAACTGTGCCCACCACATCGGAAAATACAAAAAAATGAATTGCTGCCACTTTGTGAAAATATAAGAAGAAAAAGATGATGGAAATTAATTTCTACTAAAACTGACTTAGGGAGAGATCAGATTGAAAAGATGTTTAAGAAGATGAGGAAAGGGACCTAAACACCAGCACCTGCTTACTTAAAGGGAGAAGTCAACTAGCAAGACTAAAACATCTACCCCAGATTTTATTTAAAATGAAAGCAAAACTAGCAGCTACTCATTTTGTAAAGCGCTGTCAAATCTGCAATTGTGAAAACAAGATCAGGTACATACATTTGCGGCTATGTGAACCCTAAATGCTCTAATTGAAAAACATACAGAGCTAGAAAGAAAGACAAGAAGTGCCAACAAGACCCCATTAAAAGGGGACAGGGCTAGAAGAGCCAAGATCCATACACGACCATTTGAAATCGTGGCAAACATTTTTAACCCCAATGCGAAATATGCAACTGACATCCATCATATCAGATCAATGGGGAATCTCCAGAACCCTACCTTGGATTTTCTTCTTTCTTGATTCTGAGCTGCCAGCCGCCTCTGTATATTAGAAACAAAGTAAAACAAACAAACAGACAGTAAACCAACACAGGAGAGAGAGGGGGGGAGAGAGAGAGAGAGAGAGAGAAAGGAGTTGTCACTAGAGTCCAGAAATCAATAGTAACAATAAGATATTATAACCATTGGGGGAGGGTTCCCCTTCCCTCTCTCCCCGAAACTTTTGACCTTTTAACTTTTATCTCCTTCTCCTTAGAGCAGCTATGGGGGGAGGGGCGTCAGGGAAGCTGACCTTGAACGCTTTTGGCCATTATGTGGTTATCTGCCTTTGTTCACTGGTATATAAAAAGAGCTAACACTTTTGTAGTTTGGTTCAAAGAAAAATCAATACAGGCTATTTGCAAGTACAGTTTGTTTTCCCTCTACCAAACCTCTTGCTCTCATAAATCATGGTGTATTTAATCATATCACCTTTTCAGTACAGTCAATCACCCCCAATACCCCCCACCCACCCTTTTCTAGGGTTTTCTCTGTCTCGGTCTCACTTCCTCTCTCTCTGGCTGTAAATTCTAGGGCTTAGGTTTGTTTGCTAAAATGAATTGAAACTTTGCCTGCCCTCAGAGGTCCACAGAGCTCAGGTCTTTGATTTTTCTTTGTCTATCATGAGCTGGGTCTTCAGCTTTCCCTGGAATAGCAAATCCATTTTTAAAACTCAGCTAGCCTAAAGCTGCCTCAGGGAGAAACTCTTCACAAGCTCCTTGAGGTGGCCTGGAAATCACTCTGGAGATGCTGTGCACAAATTCAGTCATTAAACTTGATCTCTGGTTATTTATTTCATTTCAAAGGGCATTTTATAGCACCTTTTGGTTAGAAAAAAAGTGATAAATAATTAGGAAAGGAGAGGAGTAGCTTTATGGATTTCCTATTCATTTACTAGTCAAACTCTTAAATGAAAAAAAAGAAAAAGAAAACAAACCTTCAAAGTATTCTGCTTATGAAAGAGAGGGACTGAGCACAGTGGTGCGAGCTGGGCAGACGGAAAGGGTTTCCAAGCTCACCTGCAGTTCCAGTTTCTCCTCTTCATCCAGACTCTCTGATTTCACAATGCCGTTCTCCGGGGTGGCAGACTCCTGCTCAGTCCCGCCCTCCTCCACTGCTGCCTGATTCAGGTCTCCTGGCTCAGACATTCTCCCAGACACAAGTTAAAATAACAAGATGTGATGCCCTGTGAGGTTAAAGAAGTCAGAACCTAAAGTCAGTGCACAGTGAAGCACTTCCTATCATTCTTGTGGTATTTCATTCCTCCCTTTGTATTCAAATTCACATAAGCAACTCTGGCATCTCTGCCAATTTTACAGGAAAGGCGAATAAGACAGCAAAATCAAATCCAGTACCCAAGGCAAACACACGAGGCAGATTCAGTCACCCTATCCACACCCCCTCTGCACCCATACACACACACAATCGCAAATATACCTTGCCATCGAAATGGATCGACAAATCTTAAACCGAGACACAGAACTCCCACACATCTCCCCGTCCCTATGCCCCAGTACAAAGGAGAAGAAAAAGAAAAAGAGAGTGTTGCTCCATCTCTTGAAGAGATGACCCTCGGCTGCTGAGGCAAGAGCGGGTATTGGTGTTCTGCAGCATGTCTGAGATGATTCAAAAATGATTTGCAAGTTTCAACCCACCAACATGCCTTCCTAAGGCATAAGGAATACCGTGTACTCTACAAGTAGGGGCAAAAATCAATTTAAGAGCTAATAATTCAATATAAATATAAGATCTAAATTTGGCAATAAACCTTTCAGGGCCAACATTTTCAGGCTTCAAATTGACAGCTACATTATTAAAAGCAAGAGTGCTTTCCTGAGTGCCTGGCAGTTGCCAGTGTTACACAGACCCCGTAGAAGGCAGTCTCTGGCAGGCAGTTTTAATGAAGCTATAGCCACTGAACCCCGCTACTCCAGACCCACAGTACACTACTACCCAGATGCTGGAAATGGCTTTTTGAAGTTAAAGCCTGTTATTATTTTTTTTTCTCCCAACCTCCATACAACCCCTGACACTTCCCCTTCTGATATGCTGTCAAATGAGGTTCATGAATAATTTAGCATTTACTCCCTCCTCAGTTTTTTTTTTTTAAGATGTGAGAAGAAGAAGGAGAGAAAGGAAAGAAATATGGAAGGAAGGAAGGAAGGAAGAAAGGAAAGGAAGGAAGGAAAAAGAGAAAAAGAGAAAAAGAAAAACAGTGTGACCTAGAAAGTCAGTTCTTCCACAGAAGTTCCCAAACAATGACTGTCCTCCTTCCAGTCATTACAATGGTAATGATTATTGGACAAATCAGGGATAGGTTTCTTTGGGAGTGTTTAATTACCACCTACTAATTCAGTAACTTTATTTCCAACTGGATATGGGAAGCATGAGAAAAAAATCTAAACCACGGCGATTTCTGTTGCAAATTTGCTAAGATCTACCGTGACAGAACAGATGGTATCTAATGATATCTTTAAAAAATGCAGGCTAACTTGGCAAAGGATTATGGGAATGTAAAAGGAAGAGTTTTCTAAAGGATGGTGGCTTGAGTCTGTAAGTTATTGGTGAGCACTGCTTTTAAGTTTGGGGAGATTTGAGGATATCCCATCCAGTGTATTCAGATAGATTCCTCATATTTCAGTGACACTGGCGGGGTTCTGTGTGTAGTTAACAACGGTTCTGTTTCTCCACAGCAAACAGCTTGTTTCTCAAGGTATTCGGTGGGGCGGGGGGGGGAGGAGATGGACGTCTGTTGCCCTAACTCTGTCTTCAAAGCATTTCCATATAAAAGCAGATTGTGACTAGATTTAAAATGGAATGAACAAATTGAGCTCTAATGTTATAAACTGTAAGCCAATTGAGTCCCTGCTCTAGATCCTGTCTGTTTTGGTTACACTGAATGACCTCTTCTCTGCCAACAGGCACATTTATATGATAACAAAATACAGATGAGATGACAGCAGGACAACAAGGCCTTTACCTTTCGTGCAGAATTCCTGCCGTAGGTCTTGATGACTTACTAGCGGCTTCTGTCGTTCTACACCGGGAAAATCCACACAAGTGATCAGAGACAACTGGAGTCCCATGTCCCCATTAACAGTTCGGAATGCCCATCTCCATGCGATTCCCTTACACAGTTTGACACATCGTCAACCTGAAAAAAGATGAAAAGTCAATAATAATAATTGCAATAGTCATGGCAGGGTGAAGGACCAAATAAATAAGACCAGATTTCTAACACTAATGACCAGTTTCCAGCAAATCACGTTCACAGCTTGATCCAGCCCCACCTGTCTTGGGCTGCCTGCTTCTTCTCTAATGAAGGCTACAGCCCGGCTGTTCAAGTCAGAGTGGCACCCACGCAGGGAGCTAAAATTAACAGTTGCATTATGCACCGAAGATTACTCACTTCAATTTTAACCTTTTTTAGTGAAATCTCGCACTTTATATTAAAAAAAAAAAAAACAAGCCTATGTGTTTGCCTCAATGAGAATCCAGATCACCTACGAGCTAAAGTCTTGCCTCCTTTTTTAACCAAAGCTTTTGTTTTAATTATAGGTTAATATAATATACTTAATGTTATTTCTGAGACTCCTTTCTTTAGGAAAGTTATCCTAATAAAGTGTATTTCAAGATTTTGATTTAATGGGCATTATCTATAAAAGTGAAAAAAAAAGAAAAAAGAAAACTTTCACAACGGCATGGCTGAGAGAGCTCTTTCCTCCCCGCTTACAGTTTGGAAAGAAGAACTCCTAATATTGTTGTCGGGCAGTGAACACAGTCTCCCCATTCCCCTCCCTCCCCATCAGGATTGCCACCACCAGCTGGGCATTCTGCTTGACAGCATAGAAAGACTGTCAGAGGGATTCAACAGATTTGCAAACTTTGAGCCCATTGAAAACAATCCACGCTATAATGTGCACTTTCTTTTTCTCACAACTCCTACAGGAGCAGCGGCAAAGACAGCTTGAATGCAAACACAGAGATGGATTCCTAATAATATTTGCCAAAACCAAGCGGTATCTCTTCCTTCTGCTGCAACCCTGGGGCACACCTGCTAAATCCAACAACATGCACACCTCTTCCATCACACACCCATCTTCGCAAACACTAAATGCATCTCAGTTATTTTGTCTGTAGTTGAAAAACACTCCCTGCCTCCCCCTTGCTGCCCCCCTCCCAAGTTTAAATGAGCACAGCCGGTTCCTCACCGGATTTTGCTGTGGCTATATTAACAGCATATTGGATTACAACACCATTTGTTGTGCAAGAGAGAAACAACTGTTGAAAATGCGATCACTAATACAGTCAATAATTTCTAGCCTTGTTCTTGCGTTATCAGAATGGCCAATTTGGCTTTACGATATGTTTCTTTGGTTGTTAGACATTATATAGCTATGAGAGATAAGTGAACATGCACTGAGGACAAAAATGGATCGCTAATCAACAGTCATTTTAATTTTTCAATTTTGACCAGTTTCACCATGGCTACTATGACTAACACTCGATATTAAATAGAAGTCAACATGTCTTAAAATTAGGATCTATTTAAGTAACCAGCCCATTATCTAATATGTCTCAGAATAGGCACCAGTGATAGATGGAATTACCACATGCTTTTTGGATTCTGTTTTCCTTTTCCCAAAGAAAATGAAGTTATCAACGATCACCTCAATCTTTTTGTCTTCTTTTCTCTGATCCTCATATTTGTACAGTGGCATTTAATCCAGCAGGTGAATGGCAATGCTGTTTTCAAATCTAAGCCTTAGATGCATTATTCCAGCCCCAGTAGGTGGATGCAAGATATAATTCTTTCCATGAAGAAAAAGGAAGAACAAACTGATATTCACGTAACCAACTCAAAGCGTGAACAGCCTGGATACATGTGTGTGCGTAATTACCAGGACACGTTTTGAAATAGCACTGAGCTCTAAAGTCAGCGAGGTATTATTCTTGCATGCCTGAATCATAAAGTCACCATCTACCGAGATAAAAGGGAATATGGGCATATGGGAATGAGCAGAGAGGAACATATGGATCACAAATATTTTTGTAACTGATTAAAATTGTTCTCTTTGTGAAGAAAGCAGTGCCAGGAAATCAACCCTACTCCAGCTTTCTGTTCACCAAACTACCCGACTCTTCCACTGCTATTTAATCTTAATCTGTTCAAATTTTTCCCATTTTCACAAAAAAGCAAAACTATTTTTAACAAATACCTTTTATCCAACATTTGATTAATGGGGATGCTGGCCAACTTTCAATTGTTGGAGTGGGAGGGGTGGAGGGAGCAAAAGGAGACCCCATGCAAAGGCACAAAATAAAAGTTACTGTAGGTTTTTCGGTGGGAACAATATTGCAACCATAATTTAAGGGAGAGTATTTAGCAAAGGCAGTCAATCGCTTGCCAAACAAGCTATGGGAAATTGATCAACAGTGCTGCCAACTGTTTTCAACGAGGAAAATGAGTAAAATCACTACCACTTCTCATTATATTTAGGTTGTTTCTTCTCGAGCTTACTTTAGAGTTGAAAATAGTAGCAATCATGGGATCGCGGGGATGAGAAAGCCAGGGCAGGGGGAGAAAGGCGCAACCGCTGGGCTGTCACGTGGAGAAAGCTCAGGATTAGATTCAAATTCCAGGAGTGATTTAGTTCTCAGGGGATATCTAAAATGGGAAATTAAAGTTGAAATCTATTAGCAAGTTGGGAAGGTCACTTTCTTAGTCACTTTCCTCATAATCCTTTTACTAAAAATGAACACAGTATGACTACTCTTATCCCAAATCAATATGGGTAATGTATGATGAAATGACACAATCAACATACATTTATCTGAACAATTGAAATGTTTCTCCCCTAATGTATTGCTCCTTCTTCTTTTTTTTTTTTTTAAGCTGGTCAAAATTCTGCAACTGTATGCCACTTGCAAATTGTGGGGATATTACTGATTTGTCAATTGGCTGTGTGAGGTTTTGGAAAACTGTGACACCTGAGAAACTAAAGGCACATCCTATTCTCAAAACAGTTATTCTGTTAATGCTTAAAAATATTCTGAGTATGTAAAATTAAGTTTAAAGAGTAAAAAAACCATAACTGGAATATGACCCTTTCAGAAATGAGATCAACCATGGGATGACCAGAGTGTACAGACTAACATCTTCAGCAAGTTTGAAACTTTCCTGGGGCAACAAAACATCAATAACAAATTTTCACATAAGTTTAATTTCCGAAAGAAAATTTTCTTCTTCAGTAGAAGAAACGGTCAATCAGGAGCTCTATCCTCTAACTAAACTGTTTGGTCAACCCAATGCACAGGCATTCTGTAAGATTCTTGAGTTACCCGAGCAAATGCCAAAATAACCAGACAACTGTTGTGGAAGAAGAACCTAGGGGGATATTTAAGAAAAGGAATTTTCATACTAGGGCTTTAGGGGTAGAAATATCTTACATAAATATTCTTATTTGAGTTTTAAGAGCAAGGCAGCTTATAAACATGAGTAGATCATATGTAGAATATCACTTTTTCTTCTTTAACCAGTATAATAAACTAGACACAAACATAACTTAGATCAACATGTAGCAGAATCCCAGTAATGGAAATAACTGATGTCACAGCTTTGGACATAAAAACAGCCCCCACAATAATAACAAGTGCCTTTAAAAGAAGAGAGATCTGGTCTCAGTAAAAACAGCCAATGACAAAAAGCCAATGTTTCCATTCTTCGTTTTTACAACAAGTCTTGTGGAACTTCTACTATGTACAAGGATGGTCTACCTTATGACATGGTATTCAGGTCAACTAATACAATGTCAACAAAACACTTTTTTCCTAAAAATACAAAATAAAAGTTGAATACTTCTAATGGGTCCCAGTAAGAAATTTTAAAGATGGATTAAGTAATTTTATCTTCACCATCCACTTTGTGATTATTCATGAAGTTGAAAAGAAAGATGACATTTGCTTTTATAATTCTTAAATGTTTTCCCAGTGTATCTCAAAGGTAGGAAACATAAACTTGGGAAAGGAGTCTAATGCACTGGATCCCAGAACAAGTTATTTGGATATCCCCATAGCATGAAAATAAGTGATGAAAGTAATGACATGAAATGTGGCTGGGGTTGATAAAAGATCTTACATTTGGGTTCTAAAAAAACAGGTTACATCACTTGAAATTTTTAGCTTAGACAAGAGAAGACTTAGTAAGGACATCATAGCTATTTTCAAATGCTTAAAGAATATTCAGAGAAAGAGAAATTAGCCTTGGTCTTGCTCCAAAATTTAGAACTAGGGAAAAAGAAAAAAAAAAAAAAAAGAATCTACCTTTTTAAACATAGAACTACCATATGACCCAGTACTTCAACTCCTAGATGTATATCCAAAAGGGGATTGAAAGCAGGGACTCGAACAGATATTTGTACACCGGGGTTCATGCTAAAATTATTCATAATGGCCAAAAGGTTGAAAACAACCCAAGTGTCTGTCAACAGATGAATGGGTAAACAGAATGCACTACACACGTATAATAGGGTATTACTCAGCCTTAGAAAGGAACAGAATCCAGATACATGCTACAACCTGGATGGACTATGAAAATATTATGAGCCAGACACAGAACAAATATTGTATGATTCTAATTATATGAAGTACCTAGAATAGACCAGCCCATAGAAACAGAGAGTAGAGGGGCGCCTGGGTGGCTGTCGTTAAGCATCTGCCTTCGGCTCAGATCATGATCCCGGGATCCTGGGATCGAGCCCCACATTGAACTCCCTGCTCGACAGGAAGCCTGCCTCTCCCTCTCCCACTCCCCCTGCTTGTGTTCCCTCTCTCACTGTGTCTCTCTGTCAAATAAATAAAAACTTAAAAAAAAAAAGAAAAGAAACAGAGAGTAGATGTTTCCATGGTTGGAGGTAAGGACGAAAGGAGTTGTTATTTAATTGGTACAGAGGTTTCATTGGGGATGATGAAAAAGTTATGGGTATAGATGTGGTTATGGTTATGCAACACTGAATGTATTTAATGCCACTGAACTGTACATTTAGGAAAGGCTAAAATGATAAATATCATATTATGTATATTTTATCACAATAAAAAAGAAACTACAAAAACTTTTTCTCCCTGAATATGATATAAATCACAAGGAAACAAATAAATCCACATACAAAGAGATCAAAGGCAACAATGATAGTACAAGAGGAGGACCTGTCATTCTACTTTACAAATTTCCTCTGATGTTATCAATAACACATACATGTAAAGGCAAGTTCTGTGGAAATAACCTGCCCAAGTTTGTACTGGACTCAGATAGATACCC